CGTGAGGAAACTTGTTTATTTTACCCAATAGATAAATGTGCGTGGTGATCATGCTTTGATCACGCATCTATCATTGTTTATGTTACTTTGTTTGTTGCATTGATATAGTTTAGTTCACCAAATGGTTGAGTCGGCACTGCACCCACTACTGTTGACGAAACTTCAAGAAATTCACTTATATTGAACGACGCGACGGTCATAAAATCCCCCAAAAAACGCGAAGTATAGTGTTCTGTATCTGTAGAGTAGGGACGGTGAGTGTAAGCCCACAGCACTTAGGCCACATGTGACCCATTGTACATCCTGTCCTTTCCAGGAAGGTGGACAGGTCACTAGGAAACATCTCCTTCATATCGGCAGGTGTAGGCCAAGACTCTCCGCTCTTATTGACGATAACTCCAGGCACTCGCATAGGACATGCCTGACAGTCTCATCTTCATGTTCACACATCCTGCATAGAGGTGTGTCCACCATATTATGGATGTGTTTCCTTAGTTGACAGTGGCCAGTCAGAAATCCTACTGTTATCCTGTGATCCTGGCAAGATTGCATCCTTTGATTCCATTCCATCTCTTTAGGGATTGAGCATGGGTGTAACTTTTGGCTAGTTCCGCAATTGTCGAAGTCATCAGGCCATAGGTGCCATTGGGTCCTAAAATTCTTGGTCCAGCCGCTTTCTTGGCTAAAGAGTTATAACCTTTACTCCTGTCGTGCCCTTTAACCCACCTCAGGATATCTATCGAGGCTTTGGCTAAATCTTGCTGGCACTCTAGTACTAGCCCTGAGGTAACACGTTGTCTGTTCAAGGCTAATAGGGCTTGTCTGCTGTCAGTGCAGATTGTAATTTTTGTCAGAAGTTCCTTTCCTGGTTATTTCTTTCGTGGTGATTGAGATACCAGCCAGTTCTGTTTGGACCACGCTGATATTTTTCCCATTCCCCATTTAATCCTTAGGCTTAGTGATCTGGAGTACACAGCCGTATATAGTGTTATTTCTTTTTTGAATTTGCATTGGTGTACCAGAATATTGATTTGATAAGCTTGTAGTTTGTATGAGATTTACATATCCTGTTTATGATTGTACAAACATAGCGGAAGTTCAAAAATGAGATTGGAGAAATTTGAAAATACGTTATATCAGTCTTTTGGGAAATAAAGTTATTTTCATGAACGTTTCAAATTATTTTAAAAATGTGTATTTACTATGAAAACCAGATGAAGTATATTTCTCGGGGCCTTGATTGTACAATTCAAATTCAAATTTTATTGCATCCATATCCTATTAACAAGAAATAGATCAGATTAGTCCAAGTTCACAAATTAAATTGTGTCTGATGAATATATACAAATAAAATGACATACCTAAATAATTGTTTAAAAAAAGATTACATTCTTGAATGTTATGAAACATCGAGTCAAAAACCGAAATTGAATCGGGTATTTCAGTGATGCATACATCACCGCCTGTGAAAATAGATGAAGTATCTGACACAGTAATGCAAGTATCATCTGCATACATAAGCACCCTTCCTTGAGATATGTGAATGGGAAGGTCGTTAATGAAAATGAGGAAAATTAGAGGACCGAATACGCTTCCCTGGGGTGTACCAATATCTGTTTCAGATTCCTCCGAGATGACGTTATCAATCTTGACAATGAACTTTCTTCGCTCGAGGAAGGACACGATCCATTCATTGACTGGGCCGCGAACACCAAAGTTATTCAATTTATTAGATATGAAAGAAATATCGACCGAGTCGAAAGCTCTAGTAAGATCAAAGAAAATTGAGATAACAAATTCGCCAGAGTCCATTTTGTTGTTGACATGTTGAACAAATTCAGTCGTGCTTGTTTCAGTTGATAAGCCACTACGGAACCCATGCTGGTTGTCACATAAAACCTGATATGTGTTGAGAAAATTTGTGATTCTATTGGCCATTACTTTCTCTATCAGTTTAGAAAAAATGCTTAGTAAAGCGATTGGTCTATAATTCTCAATATTACTTGGTTCGCCTTTTTTAAAAATAAGAATTATAGAGGCTAATTTGAGGCTAGAAGGAAATTTGCCTTGCATTACGGATAGATTGATAATATGCTCGAAAGCTGGTGCAATTATATCACTGGTGGCTTTAATTACTGAAATCGGAATTTCGTCCGGACCTGTGGATTTTTTATTCGGTAATGAGTTTATGATCTGAAGTATTTCGTCGTTTGTGACGGGTTCAAAGAACATTGATGCAGGATTGAATTCACCTGTGGTACATTGTGTGGAAAACTCGTGACCAAAATGTTCATTCAATTTATCAGTTATCGCTGTTAATAAATATCGTCCAAACACAGGGGTCATGTTTTCTGGTTCGGTTAAGACCTCGTTATTAAAATTAATTTCAGATATTTTGTTAAATTTATGTTTTCCTTCAACTTTGTTTACAATGTGCCAAAGTGTTTTCGTTTTGCTATCAGATTCATTAATGATTGCTTTATAATGCGATTTTTTTTCGAGAGAAATTTTCTTATCAATATTCCTCTTCAGTAATTTATACTTTTCTTTTACCGTTACATCATCTGTCCTCTTGCGTAACCAATCCAAATTCTTTAACCTTTCTCTCATTCTCAATCTACTACGTTTTTCAAATCATTGAATCACCTTCAAACAGCTTCTTAAAAATAATGAAACTGCTGGTACTGAAAAACGTCATTCTCTTCACAGACAGCTGAAAAGTATTCACATAATGAACTTAACAAATTAAACGTTACAAGGAAAGTATTTTGAGTAAGGCTGTACAGGTGATGATTTGTTTTGTGTCTTTTTGCTCAGTTATTAAAAAAAAATATTATTAACTGATCTCTTCAGCTGCGAGAGGCTACTAGAGGGTATAATTCTAGTTCAATGCTTTCCGTAGTAGCGGAACTGTTCTGGTTTTAAATTTGCTGAACCAATTCTTTTACAAGTGAAGCATGAAAATTCGAGGAACCGAGAAAATTAATGACCCATCGTTATCTTTCTGCTAATCTTTCGAAACTGCAAATGATGCATTATTTAATTGACTTGTACATGATTGTTCAATTCATTGCTGATTATTATTTTTGGTCAAAGAAGCGACACCATTGTTATTAATGTTGAAATTAAATGCTGGGAAAAATATTGTATTACATAAACATTTTTCTTGGTGAATAAATACGAAAAATTTATTCGTGTTCTATAATATAAACAAGGATTTTCGTTTTCAAAATTTCTCCGAATTTGAGAACTTCGTGTACGATAATTTTCATACACAGGAGAGTCAAACAAATATACAGGGGAGACCCACGAGATCCGCATCCATCTATATGTTATGTTTGTTTTAAAATATGTCGGTCTTACCTTTTAACGTTATGATTTCCTATTAAAACTATTCATAGAAAAAAATTGATAATTTGATATAAGACAGTCCCGAATTGATTATCAATTGTATGTATTTTATTATTATTTTATGCTGGCGCGCCCTCCCGAATATATAGAGATACAAGAGATCAAACTTTGATCTTCCTCTTGGAGATGATCACTTGGTGATCGAAACTCCTGTCGAGGTATCAAAATAACGGTTTGGTGTTGGGGAAAAAAACTCCAGTAATATTCATTACTACACCAAAGGTTCCAAACAGTGCATCAGGATAAGGAAGGTTCTAGTCTAGACTTGAAGGGCCTGGAAGATTCTATTCTCAACAGAAATTATTGGGTATTTCCGCTTGTTGTTAAGAGATGGCGTTACTGTCCATGATTGAGTTGTTCACTCGAACTAAATAGATAGCTGTCTAACACTATCTTGCTTGTCTAGGCACGCACTGCCCTTGAAATTACTTATAGATGTAGTGTGCGCATTTTGAAACTTTAGAGGAATCGAGTAAACTCTAAAAGCTCTAAAAACATGACTCTTCTTTCTGTGACACATTGCGATCGCGGGCCGTAGTGTTACGTCCTGGTAGCCAAATGCGGACCCAAGGCCGTATCTTTGACACGGCTGATCTTAAGTCTACTCTTATGTTATTCTTCAAAAGACTTTTTATTGCGGAGAACTCAATATTTTCTACTGTTTTTTTTGTTTATAATCTTTCACAATCTGAAAAAATAAAATTTGAATTAATAGAGAATCTGCCTACTGAAAAGTTCCCCCCTAAAAGTTACTGCGTAGTATTGTTACGTTTTTACCCGTGGGTTGACCAATAATTGACTACACTGAATAATCAAACTTAACTTTATTTCACTTTAAATACACAAATACTTCAACTAAAGCTTCAACTATCATTTGAATGACTATCGCCTTGCTAGATCACTTCGTGTTCCGCACTGTAACGTCCACTTGACTGTGTCAATATCCTCGTGGCTAGCCTTTAAATATTGTAATTGAATGTAGAAATTTCGCCAAAGTTCCGGCGAAGTCGGTAGCATTATTCTCGCTGCTTCTAGAGTGGCGGGGAATCATCGTACATTCGCGCGCTCTTAGCTAGGACACCTTGGGTTTATGGTTACCAGTGGCGGCCGGAGTTATTTTCTTTCAGGCATGATTTACAACAATATAAAATAATAAAAAGTCCAATTAGTCAATAACTTGTATTCATTAATTTTGCTTACAAATTGAAAAAAGTATATTTGAAAAATTAAATATTATTACTCAACTTTCTCAAGTGGTTAACGTTTCGGGAAACAATCCTTTTCCGTTTTCAAAACCTGAAATTCACTTTGAAAATCTCGCCCCAAACTATGATAGCTCTAATTTTTTTTTTGACATAAGTCAAAAAATGTTAGAGCTGTCACAGTTTAGGGCGAGATTTTTATGGTGAGTTCCAAGGTTTTGAAAACGGAAATGGATTACTTTCCGAAACGTCTACCACTTAAGGTGATTGTACAAGGTGTTCAAAAAATTATCTCATAGGGCTTCTATGAAAATTGCATCATAATGCTTTGTCATGATACCCAAATTGTTTTTAATGTTTTTGTGATTTATTTATTGTTTGTTCTAGGTGTTGATGTGACAGCAAATCAGGAAGAAATCTCAGACCACGAAACTTTCCAACTGGAATTCGACTGGAGTACCAAGAGATGGTATATTCGTACAATGCAAGACAAATACTGGACCTTAGAAACTGGAGGGGGTATTCAAGCCTCAGGTGATAAAAGGTGAGAAATTATTTTACAGCATTCAGATTCGTCACCTGGTTTGCAAACGTTTTGTATTCATAGTGGTAATACCTAAAATTTCTTCAACGTCATATTTGAAAGCAGAAAATTTCTAACCACTTGTCTGGTCTCTTCAAAAAGATCACAAACTACCCTTTATTTAGAAGGCCGTTTAATGTCCCCCCTTTTATTTTTTGAACGGTTCAACTCAAAAAAATCGAAATTTGGGATAATGAAATTAGAGCATGAATACTTTATTTTGGAGTCAAACTGACAGATGAAACTTTCAAGATGGCGACTGGGTGCCATCTGGAAAAAAAATTGAATAGAAATGGAAACAACTGCCGGAGGACTTTATAAGCAGTTTAATTCAGCTAGCTGACATGTTTAGTGAAGCGAAGCTCTGGATCAAACCATAATCCTGAGTTTTTCATCTCGGTCACGGAGGAAAGAATGTCATTTTCGATGCGAACTTGAAAAGTGGAGTTAATGAGCTATCTGTTCTTCTTGGATCCACAAATCGCTATTGCAGGTTGAACTTAAGCTTATGGGCTGTGGAAATGTCAAAGATGGCTTGAAGATCCTCATTAATTTATGACTGAGCAAACGTCGAATCACGAGGCGCAAAAGAAAAATATAACTGCGTGTCTTCGGCATAATGATGTATGTGTACAAGCTAAAAAGCAAGGGCCCAAGGATAGATCGTTGTGGCACTCTCTGTGATACCGGTAGAGCAGCTGATACAACTCTATCCACAACAACTTTTTGAGTACGATTCTTCAGATAGTTTTGTAAGAGTGACACTGTTTTCCGAGAAAAACCAAAGTAGACTAGTTTATCACACAAAATCTCGTGATCAATAGTGTCGAACGCTTTGCTTTAAAACAGAAGTACTAAACAGGTCACATTCTCATTTTCTACAGCTTTAAAAAAACGTCGGTAATTGACAGAAGAGTCGTGGTGGTACTAAGCTGAGGTCTGAATCCTGATTGATCAGATGTAATATTACTAACTAATTGGTAAATGTATTTAGTTTTACTTCCAAATGCATTGTCAATAAAATTTTGTTTTTGACAGTGAAGTACAATTTGATTTCATATATGTTTATTTTATATATAATTCAAAATAACATCTTAGGAGTTTCATAAACTGAATAGAGGTCGTTTGAACTAATACCTAAACTATTATTACTACTACTTGAAACAAAGTTAATCATTGTGCTTCTATTCAAATAACCTATTATTTACAGATCTTCCAATGCTCTATTTGATCTGGTCTGGCAGGGAGACGGTTCCGTGGCATTCAGAGCAAACAATGGTCGCTATGTGATCACAAAAAGGTCTGGACACCTCTATGCTACATCAGACACCGTAGATGACACATGTAAATACTTTTTCTACCTTGTAAACAGACCCATCCTAGTACTGAAGTCGGAACAAGGTTTTGTTGGTTTCAAATCTGCATCAAATCCTAAATTGGAATGCAATAAGGCTACATATGAGACCATCCAAGTAGAGAGAGGAGACAAAGGCATTGTCCATTTCAAAAGTGAGTACCCTGAAGTGATTTTCATGATTTTATCAGTCCAATTCTTTTACGAAAGCTCTGAGGGACCACATTTACCCGTTTTATTTCAGCCCAAAATATTTTTGTGATAAATTATCCATACAAATGTCTCTTAGATATGATTCAATATCCGAAGTGGTATTATTCAGGGAAGTAATTGTTCTCCATTCAGAACATTGCCATTACTATCGCATTTGTCATGAATAAAAAAATTGTGTTATTCTAAATTAATTTTCTTCAACACAAGTATTTGATCAACATAATCCTTTTTTTTTTTTCAGGTCAAAACAGCAAATACTGGCATGTCGATAGTGAAGGCGTTACTGCAGATTCTGACACTCCAGAGGGCTTTTATCTAGAACTACGCGAACCGACACGCCTTTGCATAAAAACCATTAGTGGTAACTATTTAACTGCCAATAAAAATGGTTGTTTCCGTATGGGTGATAGTAGTATCGAAAACGCTACACAATGGGAATACTAAATACTCGATGCAATATTTATTTTTACATAATAAAGGTGACTCATCATTTATAATAAAGATGTCCATTTTTGTGGGTTCTATCTTATGGCAAAATATTGTTATATGTTTTATTTTTATTTAAAATTATGTGCACGTTATTTTGTCAGATTCTATTTATTTCAATTTGTATTTAATGTAGGTGATAGTTTTTCCTATTTGATTTAATTTTTAGATTTATAATGTGATTTATCGAAATTTAGTTTTAAGTAGTGTTTAATAGCCAAAAATAATATCCTCAACTGCCAAAACCCATGGCCTTTTTTGTACACTACCAAATATTTGTCTTAACTTAAAAAATATTGTATGATTAAATGTAAGAGGGGTTCAAATATACCACAAACCGTGTAATGTTTTTTCTGAAGTCGTGAACCACGAATTATAAGCAGTGTAATTTTCATTTACTTAGTCTTTCAACATTATGGCATCGGTACTCTTAATATCAAGGTCTTTGTTACCGGAAATATGCATTTATTATTGTATTTTAAAGCTCAAACCATATATAGGTACAGATTATTTTTTACATATCTTTAGAATTTAAGAGCTTTGCAATTTTTAAGGAGTCTTATTGTATTTTTGTAGCTTTTTTAGCAGTGAACGTAGGTCTAAACCCAAGACATTTTTGTAAGATGATTGTAACCGTTTTAAAATAAAAATATACTTAAATGTGTATATTTAATTTTTTTTAAGGTGAAACGTGTTTCATGTATTGAAAAATAGAATTTAATACATCTGATATAAATGAAGTGCACTTCAATTCATAGAAGAGAACGTGGAGAGGGTTCTCTTCACTCACAAAGAATTTTTGGTGACACACACGAATCATTGTGACTCAACCATACATAGAAATTATGATGAAAAAGTTCTACATTGGCTACTGTTTGTTGCCTCGAATTTTCCAGGGGAATGTCGATAGCAACATTTGAATTGAAACTCATGGAAAAAATCTCTCCAAATGTATCCCCAAAATTTGGGGAAACCTATGGACTGATGAGAATTTTGTGTATTTTTTTTTTCGTCTTTGTACGTCAAACGAGTCGTGTAGTTCTTTTAGTATGGAAAAAGACAAATCCCAGATGCAATAAAAGGTTTTTCATGAGTGGCAAATCTACAACCGTTCTACGATGTTCCAGACTGTCAAGGTTACAAGTAACGTTCGTGTCTTCAATCAGGGGCGGAGCTCCATAAATGTGAACAATACTTCAAAGAAGTTCTGATCTGAGCTTTATAAAGCATCAGAAGTTGCTGAGGTTCGTACAGTTTTCTGGTTCGGAACAGTGTTACGAGCTTTTGAAAAGCAGCCTTTGCAATTCCAGCGATATAATTGTGCCAAGACAAATTGGTTTCCATTTCAACCCCGAACAAGCTTATCAAAGCAGAAAGCGGAATTGTCTATCCTGACATTATTATATCCGGTAGAACTGGCCCATACCTGATGAAAATCCATATTAAAAAAGTAATTGATACAGTTTATTGTATGATTTTCACTATAAAGGGTTTTACAAAAACCGCGACAGGTGTTTCTCAATCATAAACTGAAAGTTACTTCTAAATTACAACCATTTTACACTCTAACTTATTACCTACTCGTCTGCCTAATGAATAAATCTACCTGAATAGGTCAGGTATGAATTCATTACCTATATCAATACAATACATACCTATATCAATACAGATTCAATAATGGCGAATTATTCAATTCAGTTTGATCCTCCATAAGATATTGAGAGTTTCTGAATTTGTTTGTTTCCATAATCTCCAACAGGTTGAGTTTCAAACCTTTCTTCTGGAAATGGAGGGGCTTCTATTCATGGTTGAACTTGTGTGTTCCTTTATGCGAGCTTTGAACGCTCTTCCAGTTTGACCTATATAAAACATCGCATGACCCACACAATAATTTATACACTCCTGATTTTTCTGAAACTGAACTTTTATCTTTGTTATTCCTAATGTGCATGCCTAAGTTGTTGTTGGTTTTGAAAACAATATTTTTTTTTATATTGTATTGTCTTTATTATCCTAAGAAACATTAAATGTTTATGACTAGGGATCAACTAGATAGATCAACCAAAGATAAAATTTAAGAAATTGATGAAATATTGAGCAAGAAAACAAGTAATTTGTATGAGCAGTTACCATTGAATATGTTGATAGGTATCAGATATGTGAAGATGCCTTTTGAAGGGATAATTTTGATTAGATTGTTTGTATTAGTTGACATAATATTCTGTTTAGTATTTGATTCAGATGTCATGCACAATAAACTTGACTAGGTTAAATCAATGTTGGAACTGAAATTTCGTAATTAATTTCCTTCACGAGGTTTTTGTCGGATATGACCTTTCGCAATCTATCAAATGGCAATTCAAAAATGAATAGAACAGAACATTTATTTCCGTGAAATACTACTTACGTGAATACATACACATTTCTCATAAATAAATTGTTTGCATTTGTTGCGGTATTTCGGCCAAAAAAGGCTTGAGGAAACTATGTGTCATATTGTCATCATGGTTCTCCGTCCAAGTTTATGATATCTCCAGCATCTCCACACAATTCAAACAAACACCTTTGCTGTGCAGAAAATCTCAAATATTTGTAGTGGGTTGGCCTAAGTAGGTTAAGGTTCTATAACTTTCATCCTCTTCTCTTCGATTTGGGTAAACTTCTTTCAAAGCTTGACTGTATAACTTTTTTGATAATATAGAATGTATTAGACCGCTATCGTAATCATTGTTGACGGCTATTTGCTTTATCATATTCAGTTCTTTATTGAAATTCGTCGCTGACAAGGGCACATTTATCAGTCTGTGGATCATACTGTTGAAAGCTGCTACCTTGTGCTGATATGGGTGGGTGGACGAATTATTAATATGGATTTTGAAAGACTGGTTGAAAAGTCTGCAGAATACTGGTGCGAGTTTATTGGCGTATTTTTTAAATACGATGACGAGCACTTCATCAGGACCAGACGGCTTGTATTTGAGCTGTTTCACGATTCGCCTTACCAGATGTTATTGAAAAGTAATTTTCGGCATTGTGGATTCTAGTGTGGGAATAGTGGGTGGTGCCTTTCCCAGAAAATCGACTGTGAAATGGGACGCAAATTGTTCAGCTAATTTGCTTTTTCAATGGCTGTTGTTGCAATTGAACCATCCGCCTACGAGTTTTCCAAATATTTTCAGTTTTCCTCTAGTTAATGGCGAAGACGAAGTTTAACTATGTCGAATTCTAAAAATTTTGCAACCAAAGAGGTTCAACGTAAAGAAACATTGTTAATTTCAAGGTTTTTTTAACGAACTTTTTTTTAAATATTCCGTGAAATACTCCCTCAGATAAGTTTCAAAAGTGTCCCATGATGTCCCAGCTATGTTTAAAATAATGAAACGGCAATTAAAACGATGAGTTTCATGTTAGACCATCTTGCGCGTGACATGGAACACCAAAGAGAAAATTTACAGAATGTTTTTGTTTTTTATTTGGTATAATACCATGACAAATGAGTAAAAGAACAGTTAATCGAATTTTCAAATCGAAAATTACGACAAAGGCAATTTGAACAACTTGAAAATCATCCTAAGTAGCACCGATTGGCGTCATTCATTATCCACAATTCAGCAAGATTTTTCACTTCCAATAAATAAAAACCTTTTACGTGAAAAATACAAGCCATCCTGAGTAATCTACTAGATGAGTTATTTGGATTCGAAAAAGAATACCAATGTAGTTGATACAAAAGTTGCTGTTTTCTGCCGGAGATGGATTGCAAATTGAATAGGTTCACAAAAGAAAACCCGCATCGGGTTGAGAGAACTGAACACCTTTTTATTTACACTTCATCAAAGGGACATTTACATAAAGTCCACAAAAGAAATACTGCCATTTGAAACGTGAAAGTAAGATTTAGGTCAATTGCTAAGCAACTCGCCTCTCAACTGTAAATATTTGAGTTATCTACTGTGTATCAAATGTTTCAGTAAAATTAAAGAATGAACATTAAATAATTAATTTATAGATCAATTTGAGATTCTGTATCAGAGAATTAAACTGAGATAGTTGTAGTAGTGTTCACGATGTGTATATGTCAAAACATCATTTGTTTTAATTTTTTTGTTCCATTAATTGGTTATAAACGACAACAGCAGTTTCAATTAACTTTTAAATTAATGGTAAAAATAAATCAATTGACCTACAATTGACTTTGTGGAATTATAAGTTTCAGATATTGAAACAATAACTCTTCATTTGATGTTTTGAAATATTTTAGTAAAACGCCATATTTCTGTTACAATTTCCAAGATGTAAGAGGTGATCCATAAGAAATATGCTTGCATAGTGAAATTCTGCTGGGATGAGAATAACTTGAATAATCAATTCAACAAATAATAACAACTTTCTTATAGTTCGTTCATACAACAAAATCTTACTTTTACCTTAAAAGTAAAAGTTTGATGTGTGAACCAGCCGTTAGATGTTTAGTTTTTCGTCTGAACATGTTAAACTCATTGAGAGATCATTAATTTTTCCTTTGAGACAAGTTTCAAACAAGTAAAGCAATCAGACCCTTTTTTGTTTCTCTTTTACCGTTAATAATCTTCTTTGTGTTCGTTGACGAATAATTTCCAAGATTTGAATTGTGATGAATGGAACATGGTCCCTTTCACTGGATTCACATATTATAGTGTTCAACCTAATAAACAGTACAGTATTTGAATAAGTTATTGATTTTCACCAAGTGTCGGCCAATATGTTTAAAACATGTTTTTATCGTTAACCAGCTATCGCACCTCTACGAACGACAACCCTCAGATGTCGAAACTTGTGCGAGGTAAGGACTAACGAGGTCTTATTTTTAACGTGTGATTCCTAACACAGCCGGTTCCACCACATATCCTATAATTTTCTATTCTTTCAACTTCATGGGATGGACCACCTTGTTTGTATATGGGTGCGTAGGTATACTTCACAACTCGAATAATTTTCAAGAAATCTGCCTCACACCCAAATGATTATTGATAGAAATGTTATTGTGAATTATCAATAACAATTTTTCTGTCTGCTTTTTCTGATTCGTAGAATCAACTTGATAAAAATGAGCTCAAATACAAGGAATGATTACGCCAAATGTTATTTTGTTGTTATACAGACAGCAAATACTAAAGCAATGAGTGTTAATCTTCAACACTCAGAGGTTGATGTTTTGTTTCCAGCTACCTATCAATGAATATTCGCAAATTATTTTATTCCAATTGATGAAAAAATTCCATTGAAATCATAATATGTAATAATTTGATAACTCAATTGTTTTCCATTCAGCGGTTCGTTATATTACGAGTGCATGAAATTTACTTCCTGTATTGAAGGAAACGATGGAAAAATTCATTTGTAAAAGCGTACGTAGAGCATTTAAGGCTTCACGTTGCTAAATCGTTTTCTTAGTGTTAATTTGTAGACCAAAAATTATAAAATTGATAACAAATTCCCATGTAGAACTATAATAATAATATTGAATGGTGACAAATTAATCTCTCAAATCAAGAACAAATTTGTTAAACAATTGGCAATTAGATACATCTAGATCAGAAGTTATCTATTGATCAAATCTACGGTAGATCGAAACAAAATATAGTTGCCTGTGAGCAGTAAATTGCAGAAAAATAGAAAGCGTTTCTGGTTAAATATAAATTTCCACAAACAGTTGAAAACGCATATATCAATTCGCAGTCAGTCTTTGGGAAAGAAAGGTTTTCGCTTTCTTCTTCTCCATCTTTATACAAAAAAATGTGGAAATCCTTCAAAGAAAGAAAAAAATCAATTGTTAAAAACATTCTCCAAACATTCTACATGGAATTGAATCAGATATCATTCACAAGATTGTTACACAATATCTTATATGAAAGAAGTAAAATTTCACTTACATGGGAAACTGTTATTCTCAATGGACTTCCATTGTCTAATATAATATAAATTGATTTGAAAACCCTGAAAATAACAATTGAAAAAATTAATGAGATTAACCGAAAAAAATAACAATTTTATTAAACAAAAACCTGAAATTACAAAGAAATAACAAAGCCACAACCAAACAAATAAAAATTGAAATATTATTAAAAGCTGAAAAATAAACTTAAAAATTATGATTAACAAAAAATTAAAAATCAAAATTAAAAAATTTCAAACCAACTTATGTCACGACGTTTCTACTGTAGTATCCACAATCGTCTTCGGGTGATTAATTGTTTTTTTCAGGGTTTTCAAATCAAATTAGACAATGGAAGACCGAACTGATGAAATACACCACGAAACATTGTCAACCACCTTCAAACAAATTACGACTTTACGTCTAAGAATGGCAATTCGCTGTGGACTTCCTTGTCCATTGTGAAAGTGATGGAAGATTTTACGCTGTTGATGTGCTTCAGAAAGGTGTCTCGTTCTGTATTACCATGGTTCCATACTATGAAAGTGTTGTCAAAGTATCTCAATGATTTCGGATCATAGTAGACAATGGAAGCCCGACTAGTACCTATAATCGAAGTAACCTGTACTGTGAATAATAAAAGCTATCGGCATCTCAAAGGCCAAAAAAATAAATACAGAGAAATAATGCCCCTGCCAACTAGTCCACGTAGACTGAAGAATTGGCAGTTCGTATTGGATAATTTTTACTAACCGAGTTTTATGATTGGCTGGAAAGTCATAAAATCAAATTTGAAGTCATGTTACGGTGACGAATAGAATGTGGGGATGAGTATCGCCGTTGTGTCGTCAATGTTCAGTTCAGGAACTGATCGCGATTTGAGTGTTGAGATTCAATATTGGTGCAGTTATAATAACTTAAAATTTTTGTTACCTGTTTAAAATGTGGCGGCCTTGGACTAGTACTAATAGTAGTAACGAGTGTGATAACAACACAGACTTTTTCCTGTGTAGTGATTCCATTAGCGATGGCGAACAATGGGAAAAAGAGATACCAGTGAATTAGATTTGGATGCATTTGAATCTTGAAAATACAGAGAGTATGTTTCAATGTATATGAGAATCTACGCTCAAGTTTGGTTTCGAGGGAAACAAACTATTACAAGCAACATCAGATTTGACCGAAATTCCTTTCTCAACTGTACGTAAAATAGTCAAAAACAAGCCTTATGAACGCAAGACGCGATGTGATACGGGATCACCAAAACCTTTAGATGTTCATCTAATAAAATCATTAAAAAAAACAATATACGACTGTTTCAAAAGCAATGACATTCCTACAACTGAAATCATAAGGAAGAAATTGAATACTTCCGGCCATATGGTGAGCTGCTGTGACAAAACTCTTCAGAATTGGATAAAGAAACTAGGATTTAGATTTAAAATAATAAATAAACGTCAAGCAGTTATGGAAAACAGAAGAATAGTGGAATTGCGTAACAAATACTTAAAACAAATAACTAAATATAGACAAGAACAACGGCAGATTTTCTGTTTGGACGAAACTTGGTATGACACTCACGACACAGTTAAGAAAGGGTGGACTGATGGTTCAAGAATGTGTACGCCTAACATGCCTGTCAACAAAGGATTGCGACTAATCATTGTGCATTGCGGAGGTAGTAAAGGATGGGTTCCGAATTCTTTCAAATTATGTGGAAAAAAACTTGAGGATTGCAATGTTGACTATCATAAGAACATGGAAGCTAATATTTTTGAGGAATGGTTTGAAAACATATTGATCCCAAATTTGGATGCGAATAGTGTAATAGTTCTTGACAACGCATTCCATATCGTTTACTTGAACTGTAAAGTTCATAGTTTGTAGAGTTGGAGTCAGTTCCTTAGAAATTGCATGGTTACAAAGATTTCAGAGATGATCTTAAAAGGTTATCCTGACGTCTTTCAATGCCTCTTTTGGTTTATTTTACTAGCTTTACAGATAACGACGATACAGCTTGTTGACTAGATTTTGGGACACCCTGTATATGAATCAGATTTTTAAATAGCGTGAGTAATGTGTTTTTTCAAATGCCTATTAAGAAAATCAACACAAAGTAACAAATGTAAATAGGTACCATTCAATCGATACGATACGATTAATCATAAACTTCTATGAAGAAATAGTAGACATAATTGAAACTTATCGTTCGCGTACGTGTGGAATTTGAGTTGATTTTGAACTGAATCAGTAGTTCAATTGAATTTCTAGTTCTGAGAACAGGAATGAATTCATTTTCAGAAATTTGTAAGTAAAGGTTGAAAATATCCATGAATGCAGAAATTGTAGTTTGGAAAATTGTAAACGATGAATACTCATTCAGATCCTTGATTTATGAACCATTATGTAACAGAATTTACCGAAAATTTGAGGGCATGGAAAAACAGTGATGGAAAGTTACCTTTATTTATCGCGGCTGGCGCCCCAGTTGGAATATTTGAAAACATTTTTTCATGGCACATCTACATATTTTTTGTTAATATTGTGGATACCATCATTAAATCTTTACCTCAGATGGACATGGATGATTAAATTAATTTCGAAGAATTTCCAGTACCTTGTGGCTCCTTTTTTCTCAGTCCCGTCACCGAACAGGATATTATGAGCGCGATTGATTGTCTGAAACCTTCAAACTGTTTAAATGCCCAAAATTTGAACGCTCGTATCAACAGGGACACCCTACATATTATAATTTCGCCTTTTATAGGATTGGTCAACCTCGTATTTAAGACAGGTGTTTTTCCTGACCCTTTCAAATATGCGAAAGTAATTCCAGTTTTCAAGAAGGGGGACCCATGTTCCCTGAACAATCCATCTATCATCTCTATTTTTTCCAAAATCGTTGAAATAATAATGAAAAAGCGTCTGTATGATTACTTTGAAAGTTACTTCTTTTTTCGGGGTCGATATGGGTTTCGCTAAAATCGTTCTACTTCTCTAGCTGTCTTTGATATTGTTGGATATATTGTTGAAGGATACGAGAAGGGTGTGCACACTGCCATTACGCTTTTTGATTTATCTAAGGCTTTTGATTGTGTATCACACAGTATACTTCTTGAAAAATTGTTTTAATATGGAGTTAGAGGGCTATTTCTGTCACTCATAGAATCATACCTTTCAAATAAATATCAGGCGGTTTCGTGTAATGATATTACATCAAATTTTGAACACGATGTTCCACAGGGTTCTCAATACTTGGGCCCCTGATCTTTGTTATTTATGTTATTGACATATTTGTTATTTATCTTAATAACCTATGAAGAGACAGCAATCAGTTACACTTTTATTATATGTCTGATCTGAATCATGCACAAATTCGAAGACAATTATCCACAAACGTGTTAGGAGTCACACGTTAAAAGGTAAGACATCGTTAATCCTTAGCTTGCATCTCGCTGAGGGTTGTCGTTCATAAGGGTGCGATAGCTAATTAACGGAAAAACAGATTTTGAACAGATTCTTTTAAAAAGATCAAATAAACTTAATCCGTAAAACGTAAACGTAAAACGTAATCCAAAATATTGTCTGATTGTATGTGGCAAAAATGGAAGTGTTGTTTTCGTTAGTGTATTGTGGTAAACTCCACTTAACAATTGGCATTTGATTTATTTCAAACAGTTCCTAAATAAAAAATGTACTTACTGTTTACGGGATCCCAAAGGTGAGGAAAGGAACTGAATGACCTTGTATACTCAGTAGTTTCAAAAATATTGATTTATTATCAGTAAAGTCTATAAAATAATCAATTGAAGGAAGGTATCGTGTAAACTGAATACTGAAAACAGAATAAACGAAGGATATAGTGTATACTGTTTTAATGAACTGAATATGTGAACTACAATTTTTGAGGTGAAAGAAAATATATCACAGAAAGGAGTAAGTTGAAATAACTTTTTAATACATCACAGATTTGATAATCAACTACTTATTATTCAAATATTCCTGAACCTCTGTAGGCATCTTTCCTTTCGTCTCTGGTACCGCAATATAAATGTATATTGTTCCAAACATAGTGAAACCCAAAAATAACCAGAAACAAACCGCCATACCGGCACTCTCCCTCAAAACAGGAAAAATTAGCGTCACTACAAATGAACTAGTGAAACACGAAAAGCTTGCCACAGATGAAGCTAGCGCTTTAATATGAGAAGGAAATAATTCGTTAGGAAGGATGAACGGTATTCCGCTCAGACCTAGGTTATAAAACACCATATAAGTTATCACAGACGTTACGGGTAGCCAATAAAACAAACTCATGTCGTATTCCAAGTCGTTTTTGAAATAAAAATATAGTCCGAGAAACACGAGGGAAACACCTGTTCCTGTGGAAGAAATCAATAACAGAGTTTTCCTTCCCAATCTCTCCATCAGAGCAGCGGTAATAAATGTACTCACTACCCGTATAGTACATACTAGGTTAGTTGCTACGTAAGTAGATAACCCTGTAGCCGACGCATCAAAAATAGGACCCATAAAAGCTAGGACGGCATAAATACCTGCAAATTGTTGTAGCAACGGTAACATGATACTTATAACAACTCCTTTACTCAGTCCTCTATCTTTAAAGATATTGGATATATTAGTTCTCTGTTTCCTTCCGTTCTCAATCATTTTACTCAGTTTTCCCAACTCGTCTTGTACTTGTGATTGCTGTTTGCCTCTCAGTTTGACCAAAGCTTTCAGAGCTTGTTGATTCCGATTTTTAGACACAAGAAACACTGGAGACTCGGGAATGAAGAATCCAAACAAAACAATGAACAACAACAGGGGGATTATAGAACACAAGGTGAGTGCTTTCACGGACAAAAATGGCCCAATGATGAAAATGTACAGGATGCCGAAGTTGATGAAAATGTTCATAATTGATCCCACGGTGCCTCTATTGTGTAATTCGGATATTTCCGCTAAGAACATGGGTAATACAGTGAATACGATGCCAAGAACTATACCCATTAGGAACCTCGTAATATAGTAAATCCATATATTGGTGGCGAATGCTAGTACCAGTAGACATATCACTTTGGGAAATGCTATCCAGAGTAACAGTCTTCTTCTTCCTAAGCTATCCGCCAATTTCCCAGCAAATGGAGAGATGGCTGTTGCCCCCAAGCAGTAAAGAGACGTAATCAATGATTCTTCCAGAGGCGTTAGCTGTCTACCCAAAGGATTTTCTTCGAGATTGGATTTCTTCAGTAACGTGAAGACGGGAGAGGTCCATGAAAAGCCACTGCTACATGATAACATCAGCAAGTTCGCTGCAAAAAATAATAATGATTATTGTTATTCGATATATGAAATTTTAGAACACAGAGTAATGAATAATAATAATATTAAAAGGTAACAGCAGAGAAGAACTCTCTCCGTGGCAAGTATCAGTACAAACTTCGATAGATCTGGTTCTCGGAACTGTCGGGGAAGAACAAAGTTGTTGCAACAAATATACTTGCCGTTCCAAACTTACTCAACTCGTATCGACTAGTGAAGTGGACTCGGGAGGAGCTGTTTCAACTCGACGAAAAGAACCGAAAAATGATGCATGTCTATAGGAGTGTGCATCCCAAATTTTTCGTTCTACAGTTGTACTTCCCCCGACAACAGGGAACCACTCCTTCACTGCACGGTCCGCGACCATGAGGGGTCAGGAATTGGATTATTTCTCTTCAGGGCAGCTGCTGAGCAGCTGATGAACTCGATATGGTTTTCGATACTGAACGAGGTGACCACAACTCTGTCACCGAGTTGGAACCCGTTCAGCTAAAAGCTCATATAAAAGCCGCAGAGATAACCTCACTTCTTCAGAAACATAAGGATAAGCCAATGCATGGAGTCTTCTTCAAAAACATTGAAGACCTTGGCTTATCAAAGAGCCTGACTTTTTCTTTCCTCAGGTCGAGTGGGCTGAAGACGGAAACTAAGGGGTTCATCATGGCTTGCCAGGATGCTGTCTTCAACACATTATTCTATCGCAGTCGCGTGATGGGTATAGGGGTTCCTGACATAAGGTGCAGGGCCTGCCGCGAGGCGTCCGAGACCCTAATGCACTTGCTCTCAGCATGTCCAGCATATGCAGTCTCGGCTTATTTCCATCGTCATAACGCGGCCCTTAGAGTTTTATATTACCATCTACAGCAGTCTTACGGTATTGACGAGACACCGGTGTTGCCCTACGCTCCGAGGGATATTGAATCCGTTCTGGGGAACGAGAAGTGCCAAATTAATTGGAACTATTCGTTCCCCACCCTCAGGCTCATACAAGCTAATACGCCTGATGTAGTCCTTCTCGATCACCAGAGCAAGACGATATTTATCGTGGAGTTTTCAGCTCCTGGCGAGACTAATATCGTCCGAAAAGAGGAGGAGAACCGAATAAAATATCGAGATTTTCTTTTCGAACTCCGCAGACTCTATCCAGACCACTCTGTCAAGATGGTTGTTCTGATTATTGGAGTCCTTGGTGGAATGATACCCTCTCTACTCTCGACTCTTGAAATCAAACATTTGAAACATCAATTTGAATACTTTTCGAAGTGAATTTGAAAAACTCATGAATTAAACTCAAACTTGCAATTGCTGTAATAACCCAAATTGAGGAACATTCCCCATTGATGGTGTCAAATGCCTTGCTGAAATCTAGAAGAGCCAAGGCTCTTCACTTTGAAAATATCATCGGTTATCTTCAGTAGAGCTGTAGTACAACTGTGACTACGCCCAAAACCTGACTGTACTGTTGGTAGTATTTTATTACTATCTAAGTATGAGCAAAGCTGTTGTTCTATGATTTTTTCTATTATTTTAGTTTAGACTTTAGAGCAAACAGGAAGGATGCTGATCCCCCGCAGACCTTTCAGTTCTACTGGATTATTGTTTTTTAGTATTGGAGTTACCAATGCTGCTTTTGACATAGTCGGAAAAACTTTCTTTTCTTTACAAAAGTTGATGATTTGCCTTAGATGAGGAAGAATGAAAGAACAACTCAATGAGATTATTTTTATACTGAGCCCATCACATCCCATGGATTTTTTAATCAAATATCATCCACAGATGTAAGCCGGTAGTTGGAATCGAGTAAGGTATAGTTATTATATTCATCAAGTAAAATATTTGATGGTGGGGTTATTGAAAAAGATCTCACGAAAAAATAATTGATTGTTCAAGTGAGTTGGTAGATCATGTTTTTTCAAGTAATTATATTATTATTTTTCAGTATAAAGCAACATTGTTTAAGGTTGCAGTCATCAAGTTTGGTTTATAAATAGGATTTTGCGATGTATAGTATGTAAATAAAATACTACAGGAAAGCAGAACAACCTGTACATCGCAAAATCGCATTGTCAAAACTTCATTCAGGAGTGGCAATTTTTTATCCGCCAGTTACATAACAACTACCTGTTTAAATAATAGATAGTTTATGTAAAAATATGGTAATGTTAAGTTTCGCACATTTTGTCTAGAATTTCTTGTTGACATGCCGGTAAAGTCGAATTATCTCTGATTATGATAGAAACATGAATAACTATATTGATGGGAAATTTCAATTCCAATAAGATATTGATCCAGAGTAACATCAAATTCTCATAATAGAATCTTTTGGGAAATAGATAGATAGACCAATATTTGGTTTTGAGAAAATCATCAGAAATGAAAAATTTTTGTTTTAATTTTGTCTCCTTACTGTTATTGGATATAGTTATTTCGTTATTTCTAACATACAGCAGGAAGGGAATCAACTAACTGCAATAGAAAAATTGAATGTCTTATTATTGTCGATAAACTGAATTTTTCCATGTATCCTTCATACTCCAGAAAGCCTATCCAAAACTTGAAGTTTTGCACAGCTATGCTACCACACAAGCAACTGTGATCACATATACAGGATATTCCATATTCGATGGTCTATTAGACGTTTCTAGAGAACAAAAAATGATGAGAGTTTTAAATTTTGGTTATCGATGTAAATGCTTGTGATCTATCGTTTGAAAATATTTTCATCACCGCAATGTTGCCACATCTACATGTAACAGACATTAACTTGAAAATTTCAAATGGAACACCCTATATATTATATCATTTTTGAATTCTGCATCAAAATCTAAATTACTTTTGTTGAACCTGTTCTATACTTATATCTCATCGTTTTTAAAATATTAATAATTTTGTGATTTTTTTTTGGCGAAAACATGNTTCTGAAATAATGACCACCATACATCATCTCATTGTTGCCAGAATTTGAGTTCCATGTATCAGTTAATTCATGCGATATTAAATATTAAAAATACCATGTTTTCGCCAAAAAAAAAACAAAATAATTAACATTTTAAAAAAGATGAGAGATAAGTATAGAACCTGTTCAACAAAAGTGATTTGAATTTTGATGCAGAATTCAAAAATGATATAATATATAGAGTGTTTCATTTTAAATTCCCAAGTTGATGTCTGTTACATGTAGATGTAGCAACATTGCGATCATGAAAATATTCTCAAAGGATAGATCACAACCGTTTACATCGGTAACCAAAATTTAAAACTATCATCTTTTTTTGTTTTCTAGATACTTCTAATAGACCATCGAATATGAAATACCCTGTATAGGCATTGATCAACTATGAGATAATCGTTTAGGATCAAAAACCCTTCAAAACTATTATTTGTGATCAATTTTTGGCATTTGGAAGTTCGAAAGAATTCCTCATTCACTGGTAATAACGCAATGATTATTAAACTAATTAGTTTTTTAATATGGATTTTCATCAAGTATCGGCCAGTTCTATTCAAGCAATGATTATTCATGAAAAATCAATGGAAATTTCACAATCTTATCTCACAGATATCAAATATGGAACAGATGTTCCATATCTCATAGCTGTTGGGACATGGAAAAACAATCGCACTAAGCAATTCAAACAATAATTCGCATAGTCAAATAGTGGAAACAACCAATCGCTCAGAAATCAGGAAAATACGTAATGGTGTACCTCAAGATTCAATACTAGTGCCACTATTGTTTCTCATCCACCCCAACGATTTGACAAGTATATCATCGATATGATGGAAGTAAAGAGTTGTGATTCAAATCGTCTGTCTCTAAATATTTCGAAAACTAACATAGAAACTTTCAGATGTGAATTTGACAATATACCCATTGGGAATGACATCATTGAAAACAAAAGTAGGTAGCTTAAAATTTTTGAGAGTACATATCGATGGAAAACTGAAATTTGAAGACCATATTTATGCCTAGTGTAATAAAGTGTCGTCTGGTTGTTATGCAGTCAGAGTAGTCGCAAATGAACTTGGTTTAACAGACCGTTTATTTTTCTCTGGTAGAATCTCTCCTGAGATATGGAATTCTATTCAGGGGCGTATGTGGTGGTTATCTACTACAAGATATTTTAATTTTGCAAAAACGAGCCATAATCTCGCATAAATCTGGGAACTTTTTGCTCAACAAATCAGATTGCAAATGATCCCTAGAACAGTGTTGGCTATTTTTACTGGAATATTACCTGCACCACTTATTAATTCATTCTCAATTTTTTGAGACTTCAATTATATGTTCGTTAATATGTGACTGGGATTGCTGAAAGGTTCGCTGAATCTTTTTTTTTTGGGACTTTTGTTCAAGGGAAGTTATAAACTAAGGCTAGCCACACACATACAGAAACATTCTTGTTTCCATCATTTCTGTTTCCATCTGTGTGGCTAGCCTAAAAATGGTGGAGGTGCCAAGGTTTACTGTACTTGTGGGATTTCCTGTTCCTAAGAGATGAAAAATTATATCGCAATAGTTTGGGTATCAGTTCCAAGCTATTATTTCCGAGAGTAAACAAGTGGAATAATGAAATATTTTCAAGCTAGTCGCAGTATTCTGAATTATTGGACAGTTTGAAAAATGTAAACTGTTCCTCTTCTTTATAATGGATGTTTCTACAGTCAGTGTGGTGTGGAACATTATTCTTAAAAGGTCAAATTAATTGCCGAAATCTAAGTCAGGAACGTCAAAAAAATCATTCACAGTTTTGGCGTGAGAAAAAAGTAATTTCCAGTAATGACCCTTTTTCCTGAGAATAGTACATCGAACGTGTCACGAGCGGCAGCACCAGTAGTAGGGACAAACATAAACTATTCACATGTAAAACAGCGTTATTTAGAGACCCTGGGGCTGGTTTTAACAGGGGTAAATACTAACAGCGTAATTACATGGAACCTATTCGACTTACCATGTTAGTTCCAACGCACTTTGTGCTTACGAATACGCGCGAACGTGTCTCGACCTGTCAGTTGCCGGCCGAGCGTCACGGGAGCAGGTTGTGTCAGACGCCTCCAATTTCACAGGTAAATGAACTTTTTAACGTGTTTAATTTTTTGCATTACTTTTTAAATATGTATCGTAAAAAATTGGCTTTGGTATTGCATAAATCTGTATTTATTGTATTTTTCATTAATGTTAAAGTTTTAATCGAGAATATAACCGGTAAAAGAAAAACTATAACTTTGTGCAAAATGGGGTCGTGGGGTTGGTTTTAACAAAATGCACGGGGTAGGTTCTAACGCGTTAATATTTGCCCCGCACACCGGGCAGGTTTTAACAGTTGAAAAAATTTAAACGTAGGTAATATTGTTCTTACTGTACTGTACTGCAGTGACGTCTCGTCCAAGAGATTCACCAACATTCTTTAGTCCCGAAGCTGTACGGCCATTGCCAAAAGCGGCCCCCCGCTCTAAGTCTAATCGAGGTCGCAAGCGAAAATGTGCAATCTTAACCGACACTCCGGAAAAGAGTGCTTTAGAAGAAGAAGCTAAGCTAAAGAATAACAAAAAGAAATCTACTGCGAAAGTNTTTTTTTTCAGTTACTTTTAAATTACGGCATAAGCCAACGCTTTACTGTTAAAACATTGTTATTCTTCACAGTTGCAAATTTTAGTTTTGCTCCAGGAACATCTTCTGTTAAAAACATTATTTTTTAATTGCACTTCACCATATGTTTATATGAAGATTAGGCAGTGTTTGTCCCTACGAAACTACTAGCGCTGCTAGTGAGTGATTTTTCGTACTTCAGGAAAAAGGTTCATTGAAAATGATTTGATGAAATCTTATGCCTATAGAAAGAAAAGTTATTCCTGGCGTCTATGATTTTCAACTTGTGATTATAGCTCAACTTTTTCAACAATCCACCAAATAGAAACATCGGTTCAATCCATGATAAAGGAAAGAACTAAAACAATCACGCACCGGTCAAATTATTTGTTATTGTTATTTTTGCGGTTGGTATTTGATTATATTGTGTTATTTGTTGATAAAGGAGGATTCATAAACATCTCTCCAATATTTGGACTTTAGTCAAGTTATGCTTTTTAACTGTAACAAATAATAAAAAATACATATTTCTAACTTTTGTTTTTAAATACCATTTCAGTTGATATAAACTAAATTTTTAGTTTGTCTCAAAAAGGCCTTCGATATTATTACCTACCGAGAGTAGGTATGCTGCTCGTGTAGGTAATTGAAATATGTATGCGTTTAACTTTGTCTCACACCCTTGGAATGCGACTACTCTTGAGAAGTCGAGGTCACAATTTTCATTATTTACAATAATTTGTTCTTGGTCGTTTCATGATACCCGATATCGATGTTGCCGTGTTTTCATTGAAATGAAATACCGCTTTGTTCTCTTACCTAACCCTTGTTAACTAGAAAATATTCAACTGGATACTCAATGTTATTATTATGTTGTATATTCCTGATAAAATACCCACAGATGAATTTAAGTTTTTCTTTGAATCGCTAGAACCACCCATCGAACCACTCTATATCGACGATCCTTCAGTTATAATATATATAGTTTGTATAATAATATTCCACAAAAATATAAAGTTAGTAAAGTTTCTTTATTTAAGTGCTGTTACTAAAAATAT